GGTGGAGCTTGTGTTTTCTGGGGTTGTATCTTTCTCTGCAGTCTTACTGAAACAGTACTCTTCTTACTGAAGAGCTGCTTAATCTATTTTCAAAAAAGGGCAATAACTGAAAGCATGTAGTGTAGCAGCATTTTCACTATCACTTTTCAAACTGAAAAACATTTATGCTGCAAATGTCTCAAAGAACAAGAAGCTAGCAAATGGCAAAACTTGGCAAGAAAAGCTGAGTAGTAGTTCATTGCAGATGTATTAAAAAGCATTTGGTTTACCGAGTTAGTCACTTGAAATATGCTGTTCCTTCTGCTGTATGAACTGATGGCATCATATATGTTGTTTCAAAGCATACATGGCTCCAGAAGTGATTACTAGAGCTAAAGGAGAGGGACATGGACGTGCAGCAGACATCTGGAGCCTGGGCTGTGTTGTTATAGAGATGGTCACTGGCAAGGTAGGGATGTTTCATGTGCTGACAAAATGCAAACTGTTCTTAGCAGTTTCTCTGCAAATTCTGGTCCCACTCTCAGCAATTTGTCACACGTAAGTCTGCAAGTAATGGGGTGGGTTTTAATTTCCTGGAGTACAGAAATACATGCTCTAGTGGATAGCAAGTTACTCACTAAAGCTTGCACTTAGCAATGCTGTTACCTGTTGCAGAGGCCTTGGCATGAATATGAGCACAACTTCCAGATCATGTATAAAGTGGGGATGGGTCATAAACCTCCTATTCCTGACAAAGTGAGCCCAGAAGGAAAAGACTTCCTTTGCCACTGCTTGGAAAGTGACCCAAAGATGAGGTGGACGGCCAGCCAGCTCCTCGATCATCCTTTTGTCAAGGTTTGTCTGATGACTTCAGCTACAAAAACTGCAGACGGGAATCAGAAGCAGCTTTTAGTTGGCTTCATTGTTTGCAGCGATGCCACAGGGCTTGGTATCAAGTTGACGCTGTCCAGAAAACGTGGTGTGGAAACCTTCCAGAAGCACATGTGATGTTTTTAGCAAACATTTGACTATAGGACCTGGTTGTGCACTATGCAATGAACTTTCAGAGCTGTTTTGATATGCATTATCTTTATGTTGAAAAGACTAGTCAGGCTTCAACTCGGTGGTAGCTCATTGGATCTGAAGGGCTCTGTGCTGAAAACTTTAGCAAGTACATATGTACAGGTTTCTAGAGATAAAGGCCTCCTCCATAAAAAGTGAAACCAGCACATGATAGAGAACTCCACCATCCTTCTGTGTAAGGGTCTGTTTTAAGGTTTTATTTGAAGTTAAGTTCATATTGAATGTTCATCTGGCAGTTGGTGTTCTGTCTGCAGTTCTTGCATGAACTATGGTGTGAGTATTTCCTTAAGAATAGGCAAATATTCACAGCTACAAATTGAGGTAGATTAGTAACTTCTTTGAAGAAGTACAAATGTTATTGAATTCTGTCCCATTTTCCAGCACAAAGTTGTTCACTTTGGTGCTCTGGTTCAGTAATAGTGTGTTTGAGATCATCATACCCATTCCTCATCAGGGCAACTGTAGCCAGATCCCCTCCATCACAGAGGCAAAACAGGGCTTTAGGCACCCAAGGGTGCATGGTGACAGTGGGAATGGCAGTACACTCGCATATAAATGCTTGTTATGCATTATCTGTGTAACAAGGGAGAAGGAAGAAGCTTCAAAGATGTTTGAAGGTGCTTAAGAAATTGATTTGTTGTCATCTTCTCGCTGCAGTACGGAGACCACTGAAGTAACTGCCTTTTGCTTCCTTCACAGGTTTGCACAGACGAAGAATGAAGTTACTCAGTCTCTGGCCTTTTTTGTTCTGACAAGATTTTAATCACTACTGTATGTAATATTTACATAAAGACTGTGCTGAGAAACAGTATAAAAGTTGAACTTAACGAAGACTGCACAAGTGACGGGCGTCACTTTCTCTGCTGCTCCTGTACATTTTACATGGCACATGTTGCTCACGTGACGGTGTCCGCAAGTTGGAAGAAGCTGCATGTTTCAGTGAAAGTGCCATTACTACTGTATATGGACCATACCTTTTGTTCTTTCTCCTGTTTCTCATTTGATTGAGAACTGTAATGTTAATATGTAGTATTTTTGAACTCTTTAGGTTCAGAAAAATGCTGTAGTGTTATCAGGCGTTATGGACCTTGTTTTTTAATCTGTTTGAGTGCACTGACTGTGAACTTTTACTGTTTTTTTTGTTTATTTGTTTTTGGCAAGCTTCAGATTTGTTATGCACAAGGCTAATTAATGAAATTTTAAAAAAGTTTTTTCTCAATAAATGGTTTATTTTAGGAGATGTTGGTAAAGGGTTTTTCTTCAAAAAAGGGGGTCATGTCACATTCTATACTTTTTTGCAACTGCTAATCTAATCTAACTGGAATAAGCTGCTCTTATTGCAATAGTCAATGTTTTGTCAGGTTTCAAGATGTGCAGTGCAAGATGCTTCTTACACAAGTGATAACAGATTTAAGGTTCCCCCCTTTTATGTTCTTCTGAGGAAAGGTGGTGATGGGCAATTCCTGACACTACTTATTATCTCAGGGATAACTTCCTTCTTGAATGTGTGCCATGGGAACAGGGAGTGCTCTGCATGGCATTTCTGTGGTCTAGAGAACTGTTTAAAATTATTCTTGTGTTCTGTTTGGCAAAACCAAGAACTCACTGTTAGCTTTATAAAACTGATTTCTGATCCTCGGCTTTGATTTCTCTACCTCACCCCAGCTGTCATCAGTCTCAGATAAAGGAAAGGTTAGAAGTGGTGAGCAATTGGAAGAAACAGCCTGCAACACGTAATCTAGTTGATTGTTTGACTTGCTTATCACAAACTGGTAACTTAAAACTTTACTTGTAAACATTAGTGCAAGTTTATATATTCCTATTACAGCTTTAGACTTAAAATAGGAACTTGCTTTTAGTATTTGGTTTAATTCTAGTGTCTTGTCTCGTCTCCTAATCCACAAGTCCTTGGTTAGTCCCAGGTGAGCTGTTGAGGACATATCACAAAATGACATTTCTAGAAAAGTATGAGCCTTGCTGTGCACGTCACATGTGCAGTGTATTTAGGCTGTCAAAAAATACAGTGCTGAATTTAAACAAAGACTGCCCCTTCTTTTCAGCTCTCTATTTTCAGTTATATGATAGGAGGGGAAGTATGTTGTCATCCTCAGCAAAGGACTGTGAAAGTAGTTGAGGTAGAAGTGCCCCCAGGCTTGCGGTGTTCTTCAGTTTGCAGTGTAACAAAAGTATGTGAGTGATCTGTGTCCTCACTTGCCTTGTTCCACATGCCCTTGTACACAAACAGGAACTGTGGACAGCTTTTAGGAGTCAGGATAGGGGTGACAAACTGTTAGTGGTTTGTTGTTGCCAAGCAAAAGAAAACTCATTCATTGCACAATGGCTTTTCATAATTTTATTTTTGTATAAACAAACATTAAGACTACTTTTGTTAAGGCAGTTGTAGAACATACAGTTGCTTGTGGGGATGAGGGGCAAACACTGCTTCCTAATGACCTATGTCATTCTTTTAATACAGTGAACTGGAATAGTTTAACTTTGGCAAGTACCATTAAGCTTTCCCTGTTTGTCAGTGAGTGCTGGAAGGGCCCAGTGGTGCAGTTCTTGTGCGCTGGGACTTGTAGAAGTACTTAGGACTGATCAGGAGTGGCATGTTTGGCCCTCAGCCTGTTCTAAGGGTTGGTCCTAGGGAAAGGGGTATGAAATAATCTGAGTACTCTTTCAGAAGTATTTACATGTTTGGTATTTTCCTCTGGGAGAACTGGCATTGGATGCAGTTGGAGAGGAAAGGGCTGAGATTCCTAAGGAATATTAAATGTCTTCCCCACTACATGTTAAATTTGTGACCCTTTAAAAAAAGGCAAAACAGCTGGTCTCTGTCACTACATGAATATGTATTTGCTGCTCAGAACTACTCACCTACCACCCTGAGAAAGGCCCACTGTGTCTGCCAGGTAATATGTACAGTAAAATTCTCTCTCCCCCTTCCACCCATTTGCAAACTCTTGTGTACAGTGTCTTCAGGTCTGGCTCACTAATGTGCCTGCTCATTACTACAAGACAGCTTCAGACTGCAGCTTATAATACTCAGTTTTTCACTGTTAAGACTGTTGGAGCAAACAGAGGGCATGTGCTTTATTAAATGAATAGCAGTGTAAGCATGGCAGTATTTTCTGCTCTTGGGCTCTTTTTCATGTCTTGGAAAAACTACAGTAGAGCCCATGTTTGTGTTCATTGCACCACACACAACCTATTCCAGAAAGCTTCAGAGCATAGGGAATGCATGTACACAAGACATGTGAGGAAAAAAGCCCCCAAAACTAGTCTCTCACACTTCCCATAATCTATTCCTTCCTTCACCTTGTAAATTTTCCTGCCTTCTCTACCAGTAAACTTCACTTACTGCCCCATGCTACAAGCACTACTCCACCTGCTCTTTAGGTGCTGCACATTAAAAAGGTGAGTTTCTCTATTATCTGATACACTGAACAGCTCATACATATTTCATGGAATGATTCATATTCTGGTGTACTAGCCCCTGTTTCTTCTGGCCTCGGTTTTATTATAGGAAAAGAGAAATGTTTTCATACCAGCTGCTAGAACTAAGACAGCCCATTTTTTTCACTAGAGACTATCCCTGTTTAATTCTACGTGCAGTGGAAATGGATGGTCTTTGAAAGTGCCAGTCATAATCTCCGCTGCTAAGTATCAGGATCTGTAGACTTTAAAAGATAGTGTTTTTTTCCAGTCATAACTGCTGGTATTTAGAAGTCCCCTCTCTTACTTTTCCTTGTTTTTTTTGGTTTGTTTTTTTTTTTTTTTTTTTTTTTTTTTGGGTTTTTTTTTTTTTTTTTTTTTTTTTTTTTTTTTTT